CTTTTAAAAAAAAAAAAAAAAAAAAAGCAAGAGAAAACAGAGAAAGGAAGGAGGGCCATTAAGTGAAATTGAAAATTATGAAATTTTGTCTACATACTTATTAAAGCGCTCAAAAAATAGCTGATAAAAGAGTATGAAATCATAAACCTTTAGCAATGATTCTTTCTGACAAATGGAATGAGATTCAGATGAGCAATACAGAGTTACTTGACTTGGTTATTATATAAAACTTCTCTATCAATATTGCAAGATAATCTTTATATTGGTTTTTACATTTTGTGTAAAAACAAATAAAAAGCAAAAAGTGGAAGAATTTCATTATTTCCACAAGATGAAGTAAGTAGTCATTACCTTCCTTCAATCACTGCCTGAGAAGATTTCTACCATTTCATTCTATGAGGGAACCTGATGCCACTAACTCAGTCTTAATACAGAATTTTAACTGATGTATTATTTGATGTATAACTGTACTTTTAGAGGTAGTTTAGATGCACCCATGAACTAATCTAAGGATCTAGTAAAGTTTTGGAACTTGAAGGAGTTTTGGGGGCATGCAAATCTGCCTCCTCATTCTACAGTGAAGAAAGAGAACAAAGAGACCTGTCTTTTTTAGATAGCTAATTATCAGTGCACTAAAAGGAGAACTCAACCTCCTTGCTTTTAGTCCAGGCCTCCACTAAATCCAATTTATCTCATTCCAAGTACTTTGTAATGGCCACATGAACTTCCTAAATTTTTTTATTTCCTAATCCCATGTCCAAATCATCTGATTAAAAAGAAATTCAGATTTATGGACTGACTCCAGTAGAGAACCAAGAAAATTTAGCACAGCCAAGGAATTTTTAAATTTCCCCTTACCTAATATTCCTGATCTTAAAAGAGAGAAAAGCATTTAAGTGACTTGCTCCAACCAAGGGATGGGACAAAACTAAAGAGGACCAGCTGCCCCGAGTCTTAGGACATTCTTCTATATTTTACACAAAGTTACAGAACAAATCAATACTCACTGGCTAACAAGATGGCTTTAAAGGCAAATCCCTGAATTTTAACTTTTAACTATTAAATAAGCAGGACCAATTAGCTGAGCTCTGTAAAGAACCCTGCTCCTCTCTAAAGCAAGGAGTTCTTAAGAGGGTTCAAAAGGCTCTAAATAATAGACTACCAGAGGCAAGACTGCTCAATGTCATTACCAAGTTTTCAAAGCTACACAAAAGAGCAAAGCGCCAGAAGAGAGTAACATTTAGGGAGTCCCTAGACCCAAATTTGGAGTGGAATTAACAGTAACTCAGTGGCTTTAGATTCAGTAGAGTCCTTTGTATTGGTAGATACAAAGTGATCATACACTATAATTATATGTCACAGGATTTCCTGGGTGGCTGGGTGTCCAAGACAGGGTTTCTCTGTGTTACAATCATGGCTATCCTGATAATTGCTTTGTAGACCAGGCTGGCCTCACACTCACAGAGACCAGCCTGCCTCTTCCTCCTCAGTGTTGGAATTAAAGTGCATGCTATCGTCACCTGACTTGTCACAGGATTTCTAAAGTTAGCTATCATGAACCTCTATTTTTCAATTTTTGATGTCCTGAGACTACAAATGCCGTTTATATACAATGACGGTGAATCATATAAATCAAATGTTATTAAGGCAAGAGTCATGTTTATTTAAAAACAGCATTCAACACTATTAATGAAATAAAAGAATAAGATCTGAATCTTACTGAGAGATCTGAGAACTCAACAAGAGTGCAACCAATCTTTTCTGAAATTCACTATTGGTAGACCTCAAGGCCTATTCATAATTCATTCCTGATTGTATGTCAATATCAAATAGCACTTATTAGCACACACACACACAGAGAGAGAGACAAGAAAGAGGGAGGGGAAAAGAGGGAAAAAAGGAGAGACACAGAGAGACAGAGAGAGGGGGAGAGAGGGAGGGAGGGAGGGAGGAGGGAGGGAGGACAACCATCCAGATGATTTAGAACCTTGGATCTTTTTTGAATCCTTCATAACCTTAGCATAAGGAATCTGAGAAAGCAGACTAAAAAGATGTCTCAGTGATCAAGAACACTTGGTGCTCTTCCAAAAAGACCTGGGCTCAATTTCTAGAACACTACAGTGGCCTATAACCATTTACAACTCCAGTTTCAAATGATTCAAGACATTCTCCTGGCTTCTGCATGCACCATGCACAGATGAAGTGCACAGACATATATACAGGCAATATACCCATAAGAAGAAGAACATAAGAAAACACTTGTTCAAAATCCCTTCCTCGTGAAATAAATTCCCCTTTGGTCAGCCATTCTATTTTCTCATAAATATGTTTCTGAGAATAATTTCTTATTAATTCTCTCTCTCTCTCTCTCTCTCTCTCTCTCTCTCTCTCTCTCTCTGTGTGTGTGTGTGTGTGTGTGTGTGTGTGTGTGTGTCTGTCTGTCTGTCTGTCTGTCTGTCTGTCTGTCTGAAAACTTCCTTTCTAACAGAGCATGCTGCTTTTAAAAGATCAAGGTGACAACTTAGGATTTTGATGAGTCTTTCAGGATTTAGTCTCACACTGCGATCCCTTCATTTCCCTATCAATGAACCCAGATGAATTTTGTTTCATTCTCTGGACTTCTTTGAGGGCTTTTGCAAATTCCACATTGTAACAATTTCAGAAGACAAAGAACTTGGAATAGGTATGGCCAAAATTATTGGGAAAACAATGATTTGGAGAAATACTTTGTTTAGCCTGGTCTCCATAAGAATTGTTAAATTAGATTTATGATTTATGGGAAAACTAAAGTAAGAGTTTCTGTTTCTCTTCCAGAGCCAACAGAAGTGGGGGGGGGGCCGCACAACAAAAAACAGCTCCAGGTAGATGTGGGCAAAAAAAAAAAAAAAAAAAAAAAATCAAAGAACAGAAGAGACGTATGTTCCCTTTCCCAGCAAGATGTAGAAAGAGAGAAACTGATGGTGAAGTTCCCCACTCCAAGGCACACTCAGAACAGCAAGATGCTCTACAAGTGAGGGACAAAAATCTGATGTGACATGACTACCATAAAATATCCAGAAGTATCAGTCTACACTAAGGTTCTACACTAAGAACCACTAAGGTTCACTGTAAAAGCTGAGAGGGAACATGTAGCTCAGAAGCTGAGCTGTCTGTCATTTGAGTATCTGTGGTCAGTGATATGTGGGCTAAGGAAGCCAGAAGCTACAGTGAATTCAACGGTAACAAAGGCTGATTGCCTACAAATAGATGGAGGGCAAGTCATATCCTGGCAGAAGCCAAAAGTTAAGGAAATGAATTGCAGGATCAGTGTCCCTCCACATAGGACCCCAGAACTCAGATGCTCCCTGAAGTCCAAGTGCCACCAAAACAGAAATAAAACAGAACAAAAGAGTAAGTGTATATATAGGAATATTTAAATAAATAAAAGCAGCAAGGTGAGTCAACAATTAAAGTTTGAGAAGTTAAGCACAGCTACAATATAGTCGCCTTTATAACTTCCAGCACAGACTGGGGAAGAGTGGTGGACTTGGCAGAATGGACACAAAGCTACCTAATAGAGTCTGCCTCAGCTACAGGTCCACAAAGTGTTCATCCAGAACCGTGCAGCCAGGCCCAGTGATAACTCTTCTACAGCCCTCAACATAGAAACTAGAGCTCAGCAGACTGAACACAACTGTCATCCATGAATTTTTCAACAAACCCCTGCATCCCACAGGGTCATCTGTCAAGCAAGTCATTCCTTCTCTATGTTCCCTGCAACCTGTATGCTCTGAAAACCTGGCACCCACTGCACATAAGTCACCCAGAGCTCAGCATCTGTGGCCTTTCTAAACTCTGCAGGATGACCTAATTCATTTGATTCCAGATCCATTTAATCTTGACCCAATGAGCAACGGTCAGCTGCCTGATAACCAATCTACATCATCTCTGATGGGATTTAAAATCTAAGTAGGGAAACTTTCATCCTAGGGTACCTGTCTAGGGTTTCCACTGCTATGACAAAGCACCATGACCAAAAGCAACTTGGGGAGAAGAGGGTTTATTTCAGCTTACAACTATTCAGTCACACTCTATCACTCAGGGACAACAGGGCAGGCACTCAATCAGGAACTGAAGCAGAGGCAATGAAGGAGCACCATTTTTTACTGACTGACTTGCTAAGCCTACTTTCTTATACAACTCAGAACTGCCTGCCCAAGGGTAGCATTGTCTGCAGTGGGGTACATCAATTATTGACCAAGAAAATGCACCACACTTACCTAATGGAGCCATTTTCTCAGTTGAGGTTTCTTTTACTCAGATGACCCTCAGATATTGTCTATCTAGACATAAACACTAATCAGCACAGTAGCAAACACTCTCCATTTACCTTATAGCTACTGTTTATCATCGTTAGAAAGTCTTCTTTTTAGACTTCACCCATTTAATCTATTGTATGGTTTCTAAGTCCTGGTTAGAACAGGAGTGCCACATCTACCTAAGCAGACCACTTTTTCAATTCAATTCAATTCATTGTTTTAATTACAATTCAAACAAACAAGGAAATTTTCCTCCTCCATCCTCAGATTATTCCCCAACACATACATGTATACATATCTAGTTAGAGAACTAGGCAAATGGCCAAACAGGGTTCCATCTTGGCCTGTGCAGTGCACGTGGCAATAAGGTGAGAATAATACAATGCCCCAACTGCATTTCAAACATGTTACAGAACATTGTCCTTTGAACTTCTTTTACAGAATTTCATTTGAGTATTTGTTACTTAAATGCTCGATAAAGTCTCAGAATCTAGACATTAAATTAGTTAAATAGCTGATATCATGCTGTAGTAGCTACTATGATAGAATTTCTGCTCATAAACAATATTAACTGAAGGTCTAACTTCATGATAGGCAGTGAAGAAAAATCTAGAGGCTTATGTGGGAAAATTGATTCCTTATGTATACAGCTCAGGGAAGTTTTCTAAATAGAAGGCATCCTTTTCTCAAAGTTCCACTTACTGATAAACTTGTTTTGCATAGTTTCCAACAGAGCTTGGTGAGCATCTTCAGCTTGTAAAGCATGTGAACATTCTCTAGCCAGTATGGTGCGCACAAGATGCTCTCCACATCCTACAAGTCCAAGAAAAACAACAGTTGAGGAAAAGCAATACTGAATGCTTTGCTTATCTCATTAACACAAAACACCCTTGCACACAACTTACTAAGTATTTATGTAACATGACAACTCATCAAGGGAATGAAATGACCTCTAAGAACAGTCTGGTAATTTTAGTAATGGCATTTGATACAATATCAAGAAACAAGGGACAATTTAATCTCAAAAGAAAATAGTTAAAATAAAACCCCTCTTTCAGAGGAATAATTGTGTAACATGGGAATTCAGATTCTGTACCTAGGGTTCTATCTCATTCCCACTAATGAGTAACTACAAACCATTCTGTTGGGTGGTCTTACTCTCCCACTTAATAAGAGGTTCCTGCAGCTGTCAACCATTTTCTTTTTTGACACTCCACTTGCCTGGATGGTTAGAGAGAAATGTAGGCATCTTCAGGGTCAGCCTAAATCTCTCCCTACCTGTTGCTCAAGAAAATCATATACCAACAATTTGAGGGGGACATAATAAAACAACTGTCTTACATTCTTCCATACTACATAGCTTTTAGAAGTAATTGTCTCTGTAGTTTTAAAGAAAATGTAAATTTTGGGACTCAAGAGATGGTTCACCAGTTAAAAATACTTGTTATTACAGAGGACCTTGGTCCAGTTCCCAGCACCCACAACTGTCTGTAATTCCAGACTGATGTGGGTTACTGGGCACACACATGATGTACATACATTCACAAAGGCAAAAACTCATACACATAAAAAAGGCAGAGAAGGAAGAAAGGGGTGAGGGAGAAAGGGGAAGGAAGGGAAGCAAGGGAGGAGACTGCGAAGGAATGAGGAGGGAAGAAGGGAAGGAGGGGGAGAGAGAGAGGTGAGGATTTTTAACTTCAAATAAACTTGGACCACTCAGAGACAGAGTAGGCTAAGGCAGGTTTGTACTGATTAAGAGTAGTGAACAGAGTATGTATGGTAGTAGACACTGCAAATGTATAGTCAATGGAAACTCAATTTAAGGATTGGTGAGTTCTAGTACAACATTTCTTGGAAAGGAAGAGGATCTTTTCTACAAGAAAAAAAATTTAAAGTATTTAAATCTGGTATCATGATCTAAGTTTCTGGGAACCTAAAAGACAAGAATCTTTCAGCTACCTTCAAAAGGAGCTCCATAAAGGAGTGTCTAGTATCCAGTCAGATTCCTGGCAGGACAAGGCACAATTTAACATGTCTGCAATTTACATACACACACACACATGCACACCACAAAATACTCATACACATTGGGGAAAAGCAGAACAAAGGAGGATCACAACAATTATAATGAACCTTGGTGTAAAATGGCTAAATTAAGCAACCACTTTTATTTTTGTTTGTTTAAACAGTTATATTCATTTTAAATGTGTGAATAAATGTCTGTGCATCACATGCATGCATGGTGCTGAAAGGCCAGAGAGGCTGTTAGATTCCTTGGAACTGGAGTTGCAGACAAACAGTACAGAACTGCCTGGAGGTGCTGAGAATCAAACTCATGTCCTCTGAAAGGGAAGTTACGTGGTCTTAACCACTGAGCTATTTCTCCAGCCAGAAACCACTTCTAAATAACAGCAACAACTTCTTCTTTTGATGGAGAGAAACCTTCAGTCTGTGAAATAAATGAAAACTAAATGATACTTAGATCTCTCCTGAGTAGTAGTAGTGTGAGCAGAATCAAGTACTGCTGAGAGATCTTAAGAAACAATATCTCTAATAACCATTAAACCATGTTGCTGCCTGATTTCATGTCAGGAAAGTCCTCTTCATGTATACATGAAGTATACTATGTATATTCATGCCAAGATGTCAACAGTTCATGTGTGAGCCCAACTCTCAAACTGTCTGATGTCTTACAGAAATGTCACCTTTTAAGATCTCTTTGTAAATATCTATAGTTAGACAAAACTCCCCATGGAATTTAACACAGAACTTTGTGGGCAGGATTATGTCAATCCTCATTTTGTTCACTACTATTCATTTCATAACAGAAAAAATAAAACTAATAGTTAAAAACATGTTTGACACTGTATAAGGACATTGTGTTAAGGTCACAAAACTCCATACATTTTAATTCCTTTTGTGCATATATTTGATGTTGAATAATGTAATGTTATACTTTAAGACAATAGTGACATAAAAAATAAACATACTATATGCTAAATCAATGTTCAGAAGGTTATATGCACACCTCAAGTAAAACAGCTAAACCACATGAAGTTATAACATTACATCAAAAATTCACATGAGTCAGGAAGATGTTTTTCTTTCTTATTACAGTAGTGTATAAAGGGTTTCCCAATAACTGAGTTTTACTAAGAAACTATTAAAATTTTGATTTATATTCTGGGATATTATTACCTTTAACATAAGGGTTAGGACACCACAGCTTTTTCTACCATGGAGTCCAAGAAAGAAAATTGGAGTTGTTATCTACTATATACCAAAGTTCCTCAGAACACACCGCAATAGAATTGAAGCATGACTCACATGTTATTTGAATTTCATTTTTTTTTACTCATACACATGAGAAACACATTTTCCACTACGTCTTCTCATTTATTTATTTGTAGTTTTTCAAGGCAGGGTTTCTCTGTGTAGCTTGGGACCTGTCCTGGAACTTGCTCTGTAGACCAGGCTGACCCCAAACTCGCAGAGATCACCCTGCCTTTGCCTCCCAAGTGCTGGAATCACATGTATGTGCCATGACTACCCAGCTACTACATCTTCTTTTTGTCATTGCTTATACAAGGAAAACTATGGCAAGATCTCAGAACTTAATAAAAAAAAAAAAAAACTATGAATACAACGAAGACTTGAAAACAAACAAAGCAAATAGCAATTGGGAAAGGTGTGTGTGTGTGTGTGTGTGTGTGTGTGTGTGTGTGTGTGTGTGTGTGTGTGTGGTGATGCCCAGCTACATAGGGAGCCACAGGCCAGCCTGCCTACATGAGACTATTTTAAAATAAATGAAATAAGGGAAACTGGGGGTGGGTGTTTGATCCCAGGGATCTACCTGATAAAAGGAGCAAACTAACTACCCCCAAACTATCCTTTGACCTCAACACATCTGTTTTTGATGCACTTTCATGAATTAAACAAATACATTTTTTTTAAAAAAGCATTAGCTGTTTTTGATTTGCTAGTTTTAATATGATAACTGAAGGGAAAAAAATCAAGCATTTTTCTGCCTTTCCTATAGGAACACATAAAGGGTTTGTGGAAAAAAATTATTTTCAATAGATTTGAAGTATCCTAAATAATATATGAAGGGGTTATAACAGAATAAGACTACATGTACTTATATAACATATAAAATATTTATAAGGTAATAAAACTTAACTGCTAATATCACAAAAAGATATAACCCAGTTCTATTTGTCTCTTAATAAATTAGACACAGTTATATCTCAAGGGATCTACCCAGCCCAAGGAGCATGGTAAACATGGCTCTGGCAGGCCTCATCTTTCTCCCCCCATTCCCTATGCCTTGCTAAAATCCATTAGAATTACATTCCTAAAGCTAACCACCAAGATCTATTCCCTTATTTATTTGGCCACTTCCTCCTCTTCCTCCTGAGGCTGACTACCAAGGTCTAGCTATCAAAATACTGAAATCTAGCAATCAAAAACTCTCTTAAGCTCACATAATTAACACAGTCAATTTAAATTAAACACCTCATTCTAACACAGGGTTTCCGTTTCTTCCTTTAAAAGTCAACATTCGTCTATATATCTGTCTCCTCTCTATCCAGAGGCAGTCCTTTGTCCCTCTGGGACAAATACCCCTTTCCTTCTTTCTTGTCCCTTTTCTCCCCTCTCCCTTTCCCCCATTCTCTTCTCCCTCACCCTCTATCTCCAATCTTTTTCTCTTGTTCCATGCCTTTTATCTCACTGGGTCAAATAAATTTTCTCTATGCTGAGACCTTGGCCTTGGCGTGTCTTGAATCAATACCAGGCCCTTCAGTATCATGAACAAAACAATTACATTTGAAAATGAATGTATGAATAAACTTATAAATTCTATTAGCAATTTATAGAAAGTGAGAACACCTACAAAAACCTACAGTCAATATGCCAGTCAATGACAAAAGTCCAACTACTGTCTGTGTTCATAACTTTTGTTCAGCAGCATGCTAAAGATCCAAGGCATTGCAACAAGACAAGGCAATGAAATGAAAAAGGGGGGAAGTAAAATACAAATAAGAAAGAGAAATAAAGACAGAAAGCTGGGCATGGTGGCATTTGGGAGGTGGAATCAGGAGGATCAGGAATTCAAAGACACCTCACTTCTTAGCAAATACAAGTCATCCCAGGCTATAAGACCCTGTTTCAAATAACCAACCCCAAAAACAAAATATAAAGTTCAGAAAAGAAGAAATAATACTGTCCCCATGTACCAGAGACTGTATAATAGTTTCTACTTTATGTTTACTTCTGTTGCAATTTCCCCCAGTTTCTATAATAAATACATTTATCTCCAATGGACATACTAAATAACTTCAATATGCTGATGGGAGATGCATATATATATATATATATATATATATATATATATATATATATATGTTTCTCATACTGGTTAATGAATAAAGCACTGTTGGCCAATAGGAAAGGAAGATAGGAGGGACTAGGAAACAAGGAGGAAAGAGGAAGGAGGAAGGAGGGTGAAGATGGAGAGTCAGGAGAAAGCAGAATGCCGGCTGGCTCCCCGTTAAGAGAAACCACATGGAAATATTAGATTAACAAAAATGGGTTAATACTTAAGACAGAGCTAGCCGATAAGAAACAAGTAATGAGCCAACAGAATTATATCAAATACAGAGTCTCTGTGCTTTATTTGGGGCTGGCGCGGTGGCGGAACCAGACCAGGCAGAGGGCGGAAAAACCGTACTCCTTACAGTATGCCATTCTTACATTCACAATACATTTTTCTTATAATAAAAACATTTAATTAACATATAAAGTATTACACT